CGGCCACCTATAGGTGGCTCGGCCGGCCGCCGAGCCACCTAGAGGTGGCTCGGTTTTGGCCGAGGCCCCTAGGTGTTGGGTTTTCTGTCTTTTCCCGTTTTCAATTCAGTCCGTGATTCGGTTCTGTGGTTGATTTATCCGGACTTGAATCGTTGACCTGATTTGGCAGTAAATCCGATTCCTGATTTAGCAGTCTAGGGGACCTATAAGCAATTTTATATGCCTACAGATACCCCCTCCAAAGTATTTCAGTCTCGTTCTTTTATAGAAGAGTCTGGAATACTTTGGATATGATCGTCCCAACCTTCAGTCGGTGTAACGGGACTTTGGAATGGCTTCTGTTCTTGATTCCTTCAATCCTTCAGGCTATTCGGTGCTTTGTCGAATGTCTGTAAGGTTTTCGGTGCTGCATTTATTGTCTGACCGTTGTCGGAATTTTGAACTTTGAAGTCGGTTCCTGATTTAGCTGACCATCGATTGTTGGCGTTGAGTCTTTATTTGCGACGCGTTGTCCGGCGTAGTGTTGTTGAGTTATCCTTAAGAATATTTATAAAAATATTCTCCAGGAACTTCTCAACCAAAAATAGGGAATAGTTTATACTCATATACCTTATTGGAGTATTAAGAAGCAGTTTATACTCGTATACTTTTCGGAGTATTAAGAAGCAGTTTATACTCGTATACTTTTCGGAGTATTGATTCCTTCGTTGCAACGCATTGATCGGCGTTGACCTAGGGTTACGCGTTGACCGGCGTTGACCCTAGGGTTTTGAACGTCGTACGTTGACTTTTTGATCGCAACGCGTTGACTGGCGTTGACCTAGGGTTACGCGTTGACCGGCGTTGACCCTAGGGTTTCGAATGTCGTTGGATGCTCAAGTCACTAGACCAACTAATGAAGCTGATGCGTCAGTGACTCTCGTATTTATAGGATTTTTGGCAAACCCTCAGCCATCAATGGGTTTGATGAGCCTTTACCGACTACCGTTTGAGTCGGGCTAGCATGCGGATTATCTAAATCCGTTCCGCATGTGACGTTGTGCTAAGAGAGTTAACGCTCTTAGTGCTACGATATTGAATACGTAGACTTGGTCTTTCTCACGGGAATAGACTACCCGGTGACGCGTGTTAGGCGTTGACTTTAGGATTTTTGGCTAATCCCCAGCCTTCAACGGATTTGATTAGCCTTTACCGACTACCGTTTGAGTCGGGCTAGCATGCGGATTGTTCACGTCCGTTCCGCATGTGACATTAAGCTAAAAGAGTTAACTCTTTTAGTGCTACGATCTTGAATACGTAGACTTCGTCTTTCTCCTGTGAAAAGACTAAACAGCAACGTGTATGAGACGTTGACTTAGGATTTTTGGCTAACCCTCAGCCCTCAACGGGTTTGATGAGCCTTTACCGACTACCGTTTGAGTCTGGCTAGCATGCGGATTGTTCAAGTCTGTTCCGCATGTAACGTTAAGTTAAAAGAGTTAACCCTTTTAGTGCTACGATCTTGAATACGTAGACT